ATTGTAAAAAATATTATTTTGGTGTATGTGCCGTGTTTATATTCATATGCATGTAGTAAAAAACGGTTATTTCAATATTACAAACAGACACTCCAATTTTATTAATATGTATAGATTAAAAACAAATACACACATACTGCCACTTCTAATACCAAAATCTCTAGTTACTAGCTACCTCTAAATTAGATATGTTTACCATTTTCCATCAGGTGGGCCTTCAACGTGTTTACCATTACAATTAAGAAAGAAAGAAAGAAAATATTTATTGCCAACCATTTTCGCAGTTTCGACGACTGGTGGACCACTAGATCAACATCTATATATATATAAATAAAATTGTAGTATCTGTTTGTAATATTGAAATAACCGTTTTTTACTACATGCATATGAATATAAATACATCAGCTACCTGCCAAAAAAAGTCCCGTCAAAATCGGTCCAGCCATTTCAGAGATTAGCCGGAACAAACAGACCGACAGACAGATAGACAAAAATGGTAAAAAATGTTTGTGTGGGTCTGTGTATGTTATTTTAATTAAAGATGCAATATATAAAAGTATATATTATAAAAATATATGTCGTAACAAACTATATGAAAGCAAGAGCAATCATACAAAACCATAGCAACATATAAATATAAATATTTAAAAATAAGGAATAGTCGTACTAAATGACCGATGTTATTTTGATGTACTCATTTTTGGGACTTTTTTTGGCAGGTATCTGATGTAAAAAGGAGTAACTTAGGCTACTTTTATTTTAGAAAAATTCTTTTAGTTTGGCAAATTACAGATAAATTCGTACGCGGACGACGTCGCGTGTACAGATAATCCACTATAAAACAAATGTATAGAATGATTCTTACCATCCGGCACACCTATATATATATATATATATATATATATATATATATCACAAGACAGTAATTGCAAATGGATGGATCAATTTGTAAATCTATTTCCTATTTGGGTTACGTCTCCATTAGACGCGTGAGATAAATGATGCTGTAACGTAATTGACTCAAAGTATGATGTACTATGAATAATATTAAAGTAATCTATACATATAAATAAAATTGAAATGTCTGTTTGTAATATTGAAATAACCGTTTTTTACTACATGCATATGAATATAAATACGGTACATACACCAAAATAACATTTTTTACAATTTTTGTCTGTCTGTTTGTTCCGGTTAATCTCTGAAATGGCTGAACCGATTTCGACGGGACTTTTATTGGAAGGTAGCTGATGTAATAAGGAGTAACTTAGGCTACTTTTTTTTTAATAATGCCAAATTCCACGCGGGCGAAGTCGCATGTACAGGTAGTAATATATAAAAGTCAAGTACAATAAATAAATTTTAATTTAAACAATATGAAACAAAACCGCTGTCTGCTTTTGTTTTATTTCCTGTACCACTCAATAGGCTCGGACGTTATTCATTGCCATATTGCAATTAATTTTTAGAAGAAATTTTGTATGTATATATATTAACATACTATATGTTAACATACTAGCAATGTTTGTTTAACTGTTGTGAATTGAAAACGGGCCTCTAGCAGGTATATATTTCAATAGACTATTTAATTCGTAACTGATATTTATATTTTACTAGATGTCCCGGCAAACGTTGTTTTGCCTTAAAATAAAAAAAAAATTTAGGGGTGGACTACCCCTAACATTTAGGGGGATGAAAAATAGATGTTGGCCGATTCTCAGACCTACTCAATGCGCTCACAAAATTTCATGAGAATCGGTCAAGCCGTTTCGGAGGAGTATGGGAACGAAAACTGTAACACGAGAATTTTATATATAAGATTTTATCTTATACCATGTACAACACAGCTATACACGATCTCAGGTCTTGTGCTGAAAAACAGCGTTGCAGCGCTCCAGCCGCTGCAGCATTATGCTGAGCACGGACCTATTCTGTAGATGCTTCGACAGACATACAAGCACGCACGCGCACACACGTAAATTTATAAGTATGTAACAATAAATGATAGATGTATATTTTTTTTGTAATTGTTGCAATATTTTGAGTTTTTTTTTATTTGTTTAATGTGTGTGTTAGTTTTATTAACATCTACCGTATAAATATCATTTCATTTTTAGAATATAATAGAAAATCATTTATTCAAATACACTTACATTGAAGCACTTTTGAACAGTCATGAATTTCTTTTTATCTACCGCTCATTCGGAAACCTGTCTCATCACAAGAAGAACGAGCAAGAAACTTGTGTATTGCTCTTTCAAATAATTTTATCCTTACTTTACAATTTAAGTTTAAGTGTGTGAATACAAACTACCGATTAGCACTAATTTAATGAAATAATCAAATAGAAAAAATATTGAATATACAACAACTGGTTAAACAATTAATAAGAGAAAATCAGTCGTAGTGATTAGAGCAGACCAGTCCCTACAAGCAGCACTCGTTCACCCCGTTCGTTACGACGGATGAGGCAGCCATCACTGCGCTCGACCATATTTTAGGGAGCCCAATGACCCGCCCCACCACGCCGCCACAACATTTCATACATAATATGGTCTCATGGCCTTCAGAGAGTGGTTTGGCTGAATATTGTTGTACATAATAATTAAAAAAGACTTAGTGCTACTGTTGGAAAATCTTTGCACATTTTTAAGTTTATTTTCTACCATTTAGAATGTATTTTTTTATAGAATTGTCATATATTTTTATTGTCACTTTTTGCCTTACAACCGTTTGTTTTTTTTGTACTACTCTAATGCTGTTGACCGCAGCTGGCCTTTACAGCTTCACCGGACGTTAGGGGGCCAGTGCAAATGGCACTTCAAACCAAAGGAAGGACTTATGGAGCGGCTGAAGGCCAACTCCCGCCTGACGGATACGACTATAGTCTGAGAGCACCACTAGGGGTTCGAACCTCGTCTCAGGCCGTCGTAACATCGATCCCCGTTGAATTGGACGGGGGATCGATCGGAGGGGAGCACCCTGGCAACAACCGTTTGTACACGTATCCTCATTATAAGTATCATTTTCTATCCATTGTTTGATTTACATCACACATACTCGTACAGTCCACTCATTCTATCACCTACAGATATTTTAATATTATTAAAAACATATGTTTGGAGGTATGGTCTGCAACTATGGGGCAGCGCAAGTGATTCCAACATAAATATACTCCAGCGCCAACTAAACAAAATCTTAAGAACCATTGCACAAATACGATGGTACATAACCAACACTGAAGTCTATGACCACCTTGAAATAAGAACTGTGAAGGAGGAAATTCGAAGTTTGGCAGCCAAATATAAGGAACAGTTGATTCATCGCCCCAACAAACTTGCTCGACAACTCACCATAGAACAGCATGTGACGACTAAAACACCATCATATCCTGGAGCTAGAAGATCGGCAGTAGCTCTGGGATGCAGATGAGTAAGGTTTTTTTACGGATGATAATGGAATGGTGCACCCGCCTGCGCTAACGGTTTACGCTGGCGGGGCACCAGTGGACGATGATAAGATGAGCATGAGGTCAGGTCAGTTAGCCCATTGAGACAAATTCATCAAGAATTTATCACGATGGTTTCCAGGGGGAACCGCGTGAAGGTCGACCTGACATGGTACATTGCTAGCAATGAGATCATCAGTCCACATTACTAATAATCACCTTCCCCCCAGATGAGTAAGGTTTCCAATGGGAAGCCGCTCTAAATGCAGCATCACAAAACATAATAATAATAATAATAACTCTTTATTGCGCATACATAAACATAGGACAGTAAGTACAAAACAATGAAAATAAATGTTTTACTAAAGACGGTCTTATAGCTATCAGCAATGTCTTACAGACAACCCGGTGTTAACAGAGAGTATTTACATAAAGAGAGAAGGTAGGAGGCGCACTAAACACTCTATTTATTATACAATTACAGATAAAATTATTCCCTTATAGTCCTGGGACTGATCGCAAATGTACTCGGAGAAAAGAAAATGTATATACCCAATTAAAATATTTACTTTCACGTTATCTCATGTGACAGGCTACGCAAGTTACTGTTAGTAGTAATTAACAGATAAAACTTACATAATATAGTACCGCAGTTAAACATTTACTTCGCTGCAGTATATCCAACATAGTGGCGGTAAAGACTCGACGGTTAAAAAGTTTTTTTTTACGATTATTATTTCATATAACATTACGTTGTTATTAAGAAAACACGTCTAAAAATCAGTTATATTGATCAAGTCCTCTTTGACATCTGAATGAGGTTATATATGTTTTATTTTTGTTTCTTTTGAATAAATAAGAGTTGTAATTTTTTTTTATTTTCTTTAATTTAATGTACTAAAATCTATACAATTATATATATATATATACTAGCTGTTCCCACGACTTCGTCCGCATGGAGTTTAACTCTATTTTTTTCTAAAGTAAAAGTAGCCTAAGTTACTCCTTATTACATCAGCTACCTGCCAAATAAGTGTCGTCAAAATCAGTCCAGCCATTTCAGAGAAAAGCCGGAACAAACAGACAGACAGACAAAAGTTATAAAAAATGTTATATTGGTATATGTACCGTATTTATATTCATATGCATGTAGTAAAAAACGGTGATTTCAATATAAATAAAATTGGAGTGCCTGTTTGTAGTATTTACAATTTTTGTCTGTCTGTTTGTTCCGACTAATCTCTGAAATGGCCGGACCGATTTTGACGGGACTTTTATTGGCAGGTAGCTGATGTAATAAGGAGTAACTTAGGCTACATTTATTTTAGAAAAAAGAAATATTTTAGAAAAATATAATAAAATTTCACGCGGACGAAGTCACATGTACAGCTAGTTATAAATAAGAGTTTGTAAATAGTTTTTTTTTAATGCCGTTCGCGATTCATTTTCAGTACACGACATTCTGCAGCTGTGAGTGAACAATCTGTAAATTTTATATTAAATATGGTAGCACTTGGAAACATAGAGCAGTGCTCACTAACTCTAGGTTGGCAATGACCGTAAAACTGTTCGTTGTGTTGAGACTGAAAACGTTTGAAAATTTAAAATGGCCGAGATGAAGGACCAGTGTGTACATCTAGATGACGTGCTGGAACAGCTGGGGGCCTTCGGACGGTACCAGCTGGTGACCATGTGCATGCTGGCACTGGTGTACTCGACCAACTCCATGTACAATGTGAATTATGTGTTTGCAGTAGAAGATGTGCAGTACAGGTTAGTGATTACTTTTATTTTATCCGTCATTCTTCGATTATACAACAAAAAACGTTCTAACGATTATACAACAAACGGCTAAAGCTCGTGTTATGGGTACTAGATAACTGATACAAATACATAGATATATTTTTTCCGAAATACATACATATTAATAATAATCTCAGGACAATTCACACAGCGCCATCTAGACCCAAGTTAAGCTAGCTAAAGTGTTATGGGTACTAGGCAACTGATACAAATATATAGACATTTTTTTCGTAATACATATTATACATAGAAAATACCCAGACCGATACAAACAATCATACTCATGAATACAAACGTTTGTACCCTGGAAGGGTCGAACCCGCGACCATAACGTAAGACGGTGTGCTAAACCACTAGACCACCGAGACCGTAGTGATCATGGAGAAGTTTGCCAAAATTCTATAAAAAAACTTAGAAATTTTTTTTTATGGTTATAGATGCAAAATCCCTACATGTGAAGGATCAAGTGACACGACCTTCTCAGTACCATGGCTGGGCAACTCCTCGGAGTATCAGGAAAGTGTGAAGCAATGTTATCATTATATACCAGGGAGGAACTGCCGGGAATTCAACAATAGCGACGTGGTGCAGTGCAACGAGTGGGTTTACGAAGTACCTAACAGTTTTATGGCTGAGGTATATAATTAATAAATAGTTATCATTATATCATTACATAGTATAAAACAAAGTCGCTGTCGCTGTCTGTCCGTTCCTATGTATGCTTATATCTTTAAAACTACGTAACGGATTTTGAAGCGGTTTTGTTTAGTATATGGAGTGATTCTAGAGGAAGGTTTATGTATAATACATGTACACCCGTGCGAAGCCGAGGCGAGTAGCTAGTATACTAATAATAATGACAATCAAAGACTATTTATACAAAACAATATAAATAGTAAATCTAAATGTATATAACTCAAAGGTGACTGACTGACATAGTGATCTATCAACGCACAGCCCAAATCACTGAACGGATCGGGCTGAAATTTGGCATGCAGGTAGATGTTATGACGTAGGCATCCGCTAAGAAATGATTTTGATTAATTCTATCCCCAAGGGCATAAAATAGGAGATGAAAGTTTGTATGAAACTTCTTAGATTTTCGACTGATTGAACTGAAATTAAAGATTGGAGCTGCTATGATGAAAACGTTTGCTTAAATAGGATTTCGAAAAATTCAACCCCCATGGGGATAAAATAAGGGATGATGCAGGATGTAAATGTATTAGTTTGAACCTTACCAGTACCTAATGGAACGAATAAATTAAGACGAACAAAATAATTTTTAGTTCTTCAGGCTACTTATATTTCAGAAAAATAAACTTAAATTTCACGCGGACGAAGTCGTGGGAACAGCTAGTCTAACAACATTTAAAAATGAATCCTGGACATAACCATATCACTGCATCATTCTGTCCTAAGGCGATATTAAGCGGTTTAAAACCGTTTCTTTCTTTCTTTCTTTCTTTCGTTCGTTCTCTTTCTTTCTTTCTTTCTTTCTTAAAACTCTACTTCCAACGATTGTAGATTCAATATAAATTTTGTTTTCATAATTTTTTTTTTACTACTCTAATGCTGTTGGCTGCAGCTGGCCTTTACAGCTTCTCCGAACGATAGGGGGCGAGTGCAGATGGCACTAGAGATTTAAGGACTTATTTTTAAGTGAAGGCCAACTCCCGCCTGACGGATACGACTTGTCTGTCTGAGTCTGAGGGCACCGCTAGGGGTTCGAACCACGGCTCAGGACGTCGTAACATCGGTCCCCGTTTGAATTGCACGGGGGATCATCGGAGTAGGTCTTCATAAGTATATTTGTAATAGTAAATGGATTTTTAAGTAAGCGAGTAAGTTCCAAAAAACTACTATAGTTAAAAATGACTCAGAGCTCTTACTAAGTCATTTTAACTAATGTATATTAACTGCAGTTTGTTTGCAGTTTTTAGAAATGTTTGGTGAGAGATTTAAATTATATTGAGAATTAAACAAGAGAATTATTTTTGTGTTGCAGTTCAATTTGGCGTGTGAAGATTGGAAGCAGGCTCTGGTCGGAACTGTGCACAGCTTCGGAAATATGTTGGGGCTTCTCCTACAAGGACAGATATCAGACAGGTAATCATCTTATCATCTCATCATACATTAGGAATTAAAATTATTACTTCAGCTGACCTCGCGAACTTCGTTCCGCTTCAGGAAGGGAATTTTGAAGTTCAGTTACGCAATACATTTCTGAACACCCTTATTGACAGTTTGTATGGGAAAATAAAATTGTTGTTTTTACTATCCTCCATGAAATTTCTTCATATTTTTTCACCGTATACATCTTCCCTGGGCTTTCCCGAATATTTCGAGACTAAAATTAGACAAATCGGTTCAGCCGTTCTCGAGTTTTAGCCAGACTAACGAACAGCAATTCATTTTTAAGAATGTACTGTAGGCTAGCAACAGTGATACGCGACATCCATCTCAATCATCTCCTTATAATCGCAATATTTGTAATATTTACAGTTGCAAATAAGATTTTTTATACTCCAACATCTATCTAAATATATATAACTCAAAGGTGACTGACATAGTGATCTATCAACGCACAGCCCAAACCACTGGACGGATCGGGCTGATTTAGCATGCAGGTTGTTCCGTATTCCGAACCTCCTTAGTCTAAGCAAGTTGTGTCACCGGCTTGCTTACTGGAGCAAAGGGCGCTCGGTAATACTGGATATAAAAATATGTGGCCACTTAAATTTCATAAAAAGAATAAAAAAACAATTGAAAATAAGAACTGGAATTAAAAGGACGCTCCGTATTTTTATCTATATAAAACAAGATAATTAAGTAATTATTTAACACAATATAATTGTTTTTGATGAAAATATACACTGTAGAGTGCGTGGCCACTAAACAGTACTACACATCGGGACGTTCCTGAGCAAAGGTGAGTGAGTTTGGTGTTACATTGCTTACTTTGGGGTGTTCGGAATGTGGAAGACGTTCTTCCAGGTCGAAATCGTATTTCTACTTCCTTTTCCATTCATTATTTTCTTTTCAATAAATACAGTCCACTCTCTCTTTTATGTATTAATTTATAAGGATTCGTAATCCAACACAGGTAGATGTTATGACATAGGCATCCCCATAGAAAGGATTTTGATAAATTCCACCCCTAAGGGAATAAATTAACGCGAGCGAAGCAATGGGCAAAAGCTAGTTGGTATATATACGGCCCATCTGATGGTAAACAGATTTTTTTGTGGATGATAATGGAATGGTGCACCTGCCTGAGCTAACGGTTTACGCTGGCGGAGCACCAGTGGAGGATGATAGACTCCTCGGAGCACTCCACGCGGACGAAGTCGCGTGTACAGCTAGTATTAAATATATTACATGTAATAAGTATGGTATTCAATCTATAAGTAAAAGTATATTTAACATCTGTTTAATGACCTTTTGTCAGATCACACACAGTTAAAATATTAACAATTGAGTACATATACTAATATGACTGACTGCAGTAATCTATACATATAAATAAAATTGGAGTGTCTGTTTGTAATGTTGAAATAATCGTTTTTTACTACATGCATATGAATATAAATACGGTACATACACCAGGAATAATTTTTTTTACAATTTTTGTCTGTCTCTCTGTCTGTCTGTTTGTTCCGGCTAATCTCTGAAATGGCTGGACCGATTTTGACGGGACTTTTATTCGCAGGTAGCTGATGTAATAAGGAGTAACTCAGGCTACTTTTATTTTAGAAAATAAAGTTAAATTCCACGCGGACAAAGTCGCGGGTACAACTAGTGTAATATAAATATAACACGTGTAAGAAAAATTCTTTTTTTTTATAAGTATAAACATATGTATAAATATTTGCATTTGTGACGGTATGTTGAAGTCTACACCTTTAACAGAAGCAGAACATTTTTAAATATACGAGTAGATAGATTTTTTTTTATACATACACTACTATTGTGGAAATCTAGCATACGGCCCATCTGATGATAAATGGTTACCATAGCCTATATACCAAAAATGTTTAGGGTCATTGTCGTGCCATCAAATAATTTTGACTTTCTGATTATTTGTAAAATAATAATAATAAATACTAACAAAACTCTCTATGAAATAAAGTAAACAAAAGAGGTACACTTTGGATTGTTTTCATTACACGCATAAATTAAATTACTGTAACATTAGTGTGACTTCTGTTGCTGCAGGTTAGATGACAAATAATTTATGTCAGGCTTGTACGATGTTACTTTTAGCAAAATGCATGCTGAACTGGATTCATCTGTCAAACGGTTTCTAACAGAGTTTTTAGTGTTATTCATCTCTGAAAATAATGACTCGCAGGCATAGGTAGGTGGAAATATTGTTAAAATAGCATGAGCCAGCTTCATCAAACAGTTTTATGATCGACGACGTGGCCAAAATATTGTGCCGCTTGCCGTCAATGGTACTCGTGCCATTGGTTCGCCTGCCTATAGACGCCTGAAAAACCAGGGCTGTCACAGCGCGTTGCCGACCCTTAAGAAACCTTAATATACCCTTGACAAAACCGATGCTGTAGTCTCTCGAGAAAACCTCGGCAGATAGTTCATTCCACAATCTAAGTGTACGCGGGAGAAAGCTCCTCAGAAACCGCATTGTCCGAGACCACTTAGATAGATATAGATATTAAACAAGTTCTTAAAATAAAGCTTCAAAATACAGCTTACGACGAAATTTGACAGAGACTATTAATGAAAAAGGGAAAGCTTTTGTCCAAAAGCGGCCATCATTTATATCTCCAATTGATGGTCACGTTACAGCTGTCATATCAATTAACAGTTAAACTTAATCTGTAGAGACGTGGCCAGCACTCGGACATACTCGTAACAAGTTTGAACGTAAGTACCGGTTACTGAGCATCTACACACGGTTACAACGAACGGTCTGACGCAAATGAATGACTCTGAACAATCGAGCCAATAACCAATTAACACCTTGAGAATGTAACTGTTGATGACTTTAAAGGTCTTATTAATAGAAATCGAATTGAAAATAAAAATGAACAAGCCATAAAGATAAGACTAACAAATTGCGGCAACGGCAAAAAAAAAATTGGAAAGAAATTGTTGTATTTTTACATACCTAATGTTTTTTCTGGAAGGGATGAAATTATTAATGATGAAATAATGTGGGTCTAGTTTCTCCAAGGTAGGTATGTTTTGTTCGTGATCATGGCCCGTGTTCCCACGTGCCTGTGTCCATATTACCAGATTGCTTGCCCCGGGAAGGCGGATCTCCTTGAGGATTTTGTAAAATAAGACTGACATTGCGACTGGAGCAGGAACACAACGACTATTTTATTAAAAATCAGAATAATGGTGATAAATGTGTGTGTTTCCCAAAAGGGGTCACAACGAATAAAAAAAAACAACAACAGTAAATACAAATTTCATAAAAGGCATGGTAGAGAAGCTGGCAGCAACAGTAAGATGACTGTTGCTGCCAGCTTGTCCAGTCCCAGAGATAAGACAGAATGATTTTGACATCTAACCTTGCTTCTACAATTCTTAAACCAATTAATTACATATACGCTTGTCCACAGATTCGGCAGGAAAACTGCAGCTGTATTCGCGGGTACGATGGGGGCCGTACTTGGCTTAACAAAGAGTTTTGCTACGTCGTTTTGGTGGTATATTGCATTAGAAGGACTGGAAGCTGCCATCGGAGATGCACTGTCACCTATGTTTATGCTCAGTGAGTTACTACGTTTGTACTTATTAATATTATAAACGCGACAGTTAGTGACTATTTGTATGTATTGTATGTGTATGTGTATGTTATTATATGTATTGATGTTTGTGACTCTTTCATGCAAAATGGATTTTGATGACACTTTACAATACAGAACCACAACAGAATAATACATAGGCTATAATTTAAAATATAGTAAATTTGTTGATTTATAAATGTCAAATACTCATAAGTTGGAAGAAATCTTACAATTTCGAGCCATTCTGGCGTGCTCTATCAAAACCATTAGAGTTCCACGAGTATAATGTATGATGCAAATGTATCTCTTAAGTAGATCTACATAAAAGTCCGCAACAGCATATATAGACCCTTTATAGGAAAGCCGTTATGGAGAGATATTGTATAAACAGAGAAAATCCGGTGCTAGTTTAAAATATGTCAGAAATGTAAATGCAAATTCATTTATTTCCAGGTATCGAAATTGTGGAGAAAAAGAGAGCAGTGCTGTTCCAAATGATACTACTGAACTGTTACACTGGGGGGCTTATAGTCATGCCCTTCATTGCCTGGGCAGTGCCCTACTGGCGCAACTTCTTACGGGTTATATACGCCCCGACACTCCTCATACTTTCCTACTCGTTCTTCTTAGACGAGAGCATCAGATGGTTGTTCAGTAAAGGCAGAAGACGTGAAGCCATCAAGCTGATAGAAAAAGTGGCAGTACGAAACCAAGTAAAATTAGATAAGACGATGCTGAATAAACTAGAGTATATAGATGAGGAAACACGATCAGAACTGAAAGAAAAGAAATTGCTCTTGAAAACTTTCCGGTCGAAAGTAATGCTGCAAAGATTCCTTATTTGCATGGTGTGGTGGTTCACAATTACATTAATTAACTACGGAATGATGATCAGCTCTGTGTTTATAGACGGCAACAAGTACATTAACTTCGCTCTGCTCATGTTGATGGATATACCTGCTAATATTTTCTATTGGTTGGCATTAGCGAAGTATAAAAGAAAATTACCACTGTTAACATCGTTTATCGTTGGTGGTATTTTCTGCGTTTGTAAACCTTTCGTTCCTAAAGGTAATATTTCTATTGTAATGTTTGTAAATTTTTGATCTGCTACAAATATGTTAAAATAGTTATCATCAAAGATAAATTCTACTATATAACAAAATTCCCGAAACTAAATTAAGATTTAAAGAATTATGAATTGCAAAGAGTTAGCATACAGTAAATGAATTTTTAGCAAGCAAACTGTAGGGCACAGTAATTCGTTAAAGTTAATTTAGTCATTTCAAATGGACAGACGTACGTACACTTTTCGTTTTAATGCTATGAGTATGTCATATATCATATTGCTTTACCATTTAAACAAGGTCCATGTGTGTATTGTGAATTTATTGTATATGCATATGCAATTATCTATATACTAGCTACAGATCCCGGCTTCACACGGTTGTACATGTATTATATAAATAAACCTTCCTCTTGAATCACTTTATCTATAAAAAAATCGCTTCAAAATCCGTTGCGTAGTTTTAAAGATTTAAGCATACATAGGGACGGACAGACAAAGATAGCAACCTTTTTTATACTATATAATAAAACAGTAGAGGTCGAATTTCTGTACATAGAAAAATAACGCCATGAACCGAGTCTGAGAGATGTTAGAAGTGAAAGAGAAATTTAGATTTTTTTCAAATTTATCGTTTCTCTCTCTGTTCGCTGATCTCCGAAACAATTGGACGGAATTATCTAGACAACAATTGGAGCACCGTGTGTATATTTACACGAACCATTTGGAGCCACTTTTGACCCCCTCATAACTCAAAAACTCTTTCACACAAACCTGTCAAATTTGGTTCATATATTGAGACTTGCAAGATAAATATGTGTTCCAAATTTCATAAACATATCTCAAACGGTTATTTAGATATTAATGTCCAAAAATCGTCATTTTTATCACTGATCAACTATAGATCAAAATTATAACCCACTTCCAGATGACCTAGGAAGTTCAAATTTGGTATGCAGATAGGTAATTAGAATATAAAGGAAAAAATCTGAAACTGGTAAATTGTTATCATTTTACTACAATTTTTCACTTTAATTGATTCTATTTCAACTTATACTGGACGAATACTAAAATTCTATGAAAACGTCGATAGCCACCAATTGACATTGATCCCTGGCGAAAAATCTCATCTTGTACTGGACGGAAAGTAATATTGTATGAAAACGTCGATCATTACCAATTTACGTTGACACATCAGTGTCGATAACTAGCAAACTTCAAATATTGCATTGAGCGGTAAACACTAGTTGCTATAATTTAGATTCTGTCTAAAATATACTCGTACTTATAACTAGGAGTATAGTCGAATTTCGTATTTATTATGTTATTAACTGAGATTTGGTATTAATTATTGTTTCAATATTTATCGCACATCGATAGTGTAAAATCATTATTTTTATAAATAATTATTAAATAATAGGCATTTCGGTATAGGGCGCCGCGGCGGCGCTAGCGGTGCGATAAAACTCAATGTTTTGTTTCTGGATATCTAACCTATAAGGTTAAGATTTATGCTACGAAATTTATAGCTTTCTTAAATTATACTTATATATTTGTGGTTATATTATTATTACATTATTTTAGTAAATACGTATGGTATAGACAATAGTTTAAACGAAAAATTAATAACAATTTTAGTATAGTTATAAGTATGAATGTATAGTTAACTCGAGAATGAGAACTCATTGGTAACAAATTGTTTTCTTGAGAATTCAATAGAGAACAGTCAATTTGTTACATAATCGTCTTTACGAACTATAACGTGTCAATACGAAGTTTCAGATATTAAATAATGTATATGTTGACAGAGAACAATTCCGTATTTGCTTAACATATGCTATTACTATCCACAAATCACAAGGCCTTAGTTTTGGCAGTCCTCTTCTCAGCATAGCCTCCTCTATATTTAATAAAGGGCAGGTTTACGTTGGACTCTCCAGAGTTAAAACCTTAGATGGAGTAGGTACGTCTTAACAATTTAGATCCAAGTCACGAGAGCTCTATTGTAGAGTACAACCATCTGTGGACGTTATACCGCCCCGATTTGCCCAAAAATTCCTGATACTGAATTGGCATTGCACTTGAACATTTAAAAGTTACAAGAAAATATAGAAAAAAACACAAAAAAAGACAATTATACCCCGTAAATATACGAAAATACAGTAATTTATCAAAAATAATTTGGTATTAATTTAGTTATAAATAAGTACCTCGTATAATTTATGTACAAAAAGTAATGATATCCCATCAAAAACATAAATGTGAAATGATAGTCGAGTTTAATATTATGATATATACCTTGATTGTTGACTTCTACGACAAAAGAGATGAGATCTAAATGGGTGCCAAGTTCAATGATCTGTCATGAAATGTATTTATAACAATATAAAATATCATTTCTTCTTATAACTTAGGATAATATACTGTAGCCTAAGGTCTAACTTGGCTAGTTTTCATATACGAAATATACTGTAGCCTTCGCAAGTTCTAAACATGTTACTTGTCGGTTCCTATTTTAATATTAATAGTAACTAGCAATCGAAAGTAATAATTGGTATATGAGAACACCTTCTACAGTATATTATCCTAAGATAAGAAGAAATGATATTTTATATTGTTATAAATACATTTCCAGACCATTGAACTTGGCACCCATTTAGATCTCATCTCTTTTGTCCAACAATCACATATATCATAATATTAAACATTTCACATTTATGTTTTTGATATATGAAATTCTGCATGGAGGTAAATGTGATAACATATATGTTGGTTCCAGGTTTCGCGTGGATAGGTCTGACGTTGTACATGGCGTTTGAAATGCTCGCAACATTTTCGTACAATATCGTCTACATGTATACATCGGAGCTGTTCCCAACGTATACCAGGAACTCGATGCACTCTATATGTTCGGCTGTAGGTAGAATTGGATCGCTAGTCGCTCCACAAACTCCATTAATGGTAAGTTTTCTATGCAATTCATAATTATCAGTCTCTTATCAGTTGTGCACGTCCTTCTTACAATTACATCATCACCATCTGCTTCTTCCTTATCCCATTTATTTGTGGTCGACGTAACATGTTTTTCTCTTCCATTCATTTCTGTTCGCAGTCATCTCGTTATTTACTTCCTTTCTTATCATATCATCTTTCACACAGTCCATCCATCTCTTTTTCGGCCTTTCTCTGCCCATATAACCATCCACATTCATATGTAACACCTTCCTTAAGATAAATTCACAATAGACGATTATTCCAACACCGGTTCTTTCTCTAATGATTCATTCTTTATTTGTGTGTTCTGATTTTATGTCATTTTTTCATTTTCACTTTCCTTAATTATAAAAATTTAATTGACTAACTTTAATATAAAATTTGCCTTTATATTTTGAATCTGTATTTTGTAATTGTATAAAAATTTGTCACATCTTCTTGTATTTTCAAATATCATTCTGTTATTGAGGTAACGATTTTAATGTGATGTGAAAATTCCACTAAAATGATTAAAAAAATATTAAATAAGTTATTGATCTAGCTCTTCACGATTAGTAGATGGTAAATTGTGAGAAATGGATCACTGTCATCGTTTGTTGTTAGAATAAAAATAAAAAGTCACATATTTTGATTGTCTGTCTACTATAATTAAAGTCAATCTAAATATATATAACTGACATAGTGATCTATCAACGCACAGCCCAAACCACTGGACGGATCGGACTGAAATTTGGCATGAAAGTAGATATTATGACGTAGGCATCCGCTAAGAAAGGATTTTGATTAATTCTACCACCAAGGGGATAAAATAGGGGATGAAAGTTTGCACGAAACTTTGTCTATTTTAAACCGATCGGGCTGAGACTTTACATGCATAAAGCTACTATGACGTAGGCATCCCCTAAGAAAAGATATTGATAAATTCTATCCCTAAGGGGATAAATTAACGCGAAGCCGCGGGCAAAAGCTAGTTAATGATAAATATGACTAAAATTTCTAATGGATATTAATTAATATTGTTGCACATTTATTTCGGCAGATAGCGTATTGGTCGGGGCTACCAACTCTTCTGTTCGGTGTCACATCTCTTCTGTCGGGGGCGTTGACACTGTGGATACCAGAAACTGCCAAGACCGAACTACCAAATACCGTACATGAAGCTGAGAATATTGGGAAAACATTGCTCAACGAGTCAAACGAAGAGAATGAAATGACCAAATTATCTCGATAAAATTGTTTTGATCAGTATTGGTTTAAATATATTAGAAAATATTTGTTACCTTTTAGAATAAAATATGCTGCGTTCTTATTACAACCACAGATAACATAATATTACATATTACAACTAATTATAAGCAGTAAAAGTGACGTATTTTATTATATTTTACAGGTAAGAAAAAGAAAAGGTTATTCGATATATTTGGTATACCAAATATATCGAATAACCTTTTCTCTCTCCTAATAAAAATTGTTACATATACAGAATAGACTACTGACATGTAACAGAATAGAATAAAAGTAACAAACAAGAATCTACAAAAGGAACTATAAATTTTAAATACAAATTTATAATATAAAACACATTTCTTCATTAGCCAATTACAACAGAAAGACTGCACTTCATTTTAATAAAAAATATATAACATGAAAGAGAATTTACTCATATTTTTTAATAATTTCGTAAGACGTAGACAGACGGACATAAGAGGAAGTATGAAAGTGGCGCCGGCGCCGGTGTCGGAGAGGTTGAAGAGTAATCGTCTATCGTGGTATGGGCATGTAATGCGTAGGAATGAGGATCATATCTTAAGAAAGGTGTTATATATGAATGTGGATAGTTATAAGGGCAGAGGAAGGCCGAAAAAGAGATGGATGGACTGTGTGAAAGATGATATGGTAAGAAAGGGAGTAAATAACGAGATGACTGCGAACAGAGATGAATGGAAGAGAAAAACATATTACGCCGACCCCAAATAATGTGATAAGGAAGAAGCAGATGATGATTCGTAGGACTTCAAGGAAATAGCATAATGTGAAACACAAAATAACTGTTCATAGCTCTAAGTAGGAACCATAATTTCTTAGCGTTTAAGTACAACGTAAAATTTACAACGATGATGTAGGAAAGTCGTAAAACTTGATCATTCCTAATGCTTGAGTATTAAACGGAATTACAGCGTATATACTAGACTTACATGGACCTTAAGATTTCACTACAAATGTTTCACGTACAGTTATCTGCAAAGCGGACAATAAGCAAAGTGCACAGTACTTCACTGTACCACGTGAAGTACCTGTGATCGGGCTGGGACTTTGCATGCATAAAGCTACTATGAGGTAGGCATCTCCTAAGAAAGGATTTTGATAAATTCCTCCCCTAAGAGGAACTAACGCGAGCAAAGCCGCGGTCAAAAGCCAATCATAAATTAAAACATTTGCATCGTACTAGAATTGATCCCGCGACCATCAGGAGTAAACCAATGCGCTAAAAGACTAGACCACCGAGGTTATCCGTAAAAATAACATGTACCGGAACTGTTATTTCAAACGTAGTCTTCCAACCTTGGAAACCACGAGTATACGTTTAAAAGTACATACAAAATATTTAGATGTCCAACGAGTGTCAACACGTAATTGATTTACCGTACAAACAGACAGACGAGAGAATAACTATTGGAGCGCTCCGTTTGCCGTTGCATTAGCGAGACATGTCGAGCGGGGAACACAAACAAAGCCGGGCGCATCACCACCACTACGAAGCAAAGAAGCCGGCATTTATATGCACTTACTATTTTAAATTCTTGGACTTTAAAAGAATTGATTTCCGCCTTGGTGGTCTATTTCAGTCAATTATTGTTTACTGGCTACTCGCCCCAGCTTTGCACGGGTGTACATGTATTATATATATAAACCTTCCTCTTAAATCACTCTATCCGTTAAAAAAAGCGCTTCAAAATTCGTAGTGTAGTTTTAAAGATTTAAGTATACATAGGGACGGACAGACAGCAACAGTGACTTTGTTTTATGCTGTGTAATGATAACAAAGAATAAATAAATTTATAAAATAAATACGGTACATATACCAAAATTACATTTTTTACAATTTTTGTCTGTCTGTTTGTTCCGGTTAATCTCTGACATGGCTGGACCGATTTTGAAGGGACTTTTTTTGGCAGGTAGCTAATGTAATAAGGGGTAACTAATGCTACTTTTATTTTAGAAAAATAAAGTTAAATTCCACGCGGACGAAGTCGCGGGAACAGCTAGTAATGGATAAATTATTGTATTTATTTACTTTCTCTCATCTCAAGAGGCGCGCTGACAAGTAACCTAGTTCAGTAAAGAAGTGTTTCAATATCACAATTCTTTTATAACAGCGTAGAGATAATCTTCAGTTCAATAAACTTCATATAAGCACTTTTGAATCGTCATTTTTTATAATTCTATCATCACATTCAGAATATGGACACAGATGAAGAAGAATAGGGAAGAATCGATTGGTGTTTATATTATACTAGCTACTCGTCCCGGCTTCGCACCGGTGTACATGTATTATTTATATAAACCTTCCTCTAGAATCACTCTATCTGTTAAAAAAAACCGCTTCGAAATCCGTTGCGTAGTTTTAAAGATTAAGTATACATAAACGGTAAGACAGCGATAGCGATTTGTTTTATGCTGTGTAATGATGATATAAATCCATTACTAACATGTTCGTTCCACAGCAATTTATGTTATCTATTTCATATATAGTAATTAATATTGAAATAATAATCAGTTTTAAATTTGTCTCAAACTTAATTATGGGAAGAACAAAATCTTGTTAATTTATAAATACTGTTATTTTTATAATTATGACTACTCGCCCCGGCTTCGCCCGGGTGTACATGTATTATACATATAAACCTTCCTCTTGAATCACTCTATCTATAAAAAAACCGCTTCAAAATCCGTTGCGTAGTTTTAAAGATTTAAACATACATAGGGACGGACAGACAGCGACTGCGATGAATTAAAAAATACGAACTTCAACTAATACTTTTATTGAGAAATTACCACAGAGTAGACTTGTAACAAAAAAGTGTCTGTATTAAAAAAATAATTTGACAAGAACTGGAAGAAAGGTTCGGTTTTATTATTTTACAACTAATAAAAATAAAATCGAACGAAATAATAAAATTTTCTGAAATAATAATAATAATCTTTATATATAACTGTTGCCCATACAATAATATAATTTAAAACTAATGAAGGAGACAAAACGGTCTATAATTCAGTGAGGGCAGTGAGTCCACCCTCTCTGCTATTCTGTTATAGACTTTATCAGTAAAATAATATAATATGAGATCGACGACAACTAAACTACAACTAACAAAGTAACCATAAAACTTAATAATGCTATAATAAATTAATAATAATTAATACCATGTCTAGTGTAATACAGATCGTTGGCTCGTATGGCGATCGGTAAGGAGTACCGAGGAGCGAGGAGTTGGGGCCGACACACCTGCGCGGGTGCGCGGCCGAACTTGCACCTTTCCATATCAAACTAGCAAAAAGTATTTATATCACTTTTTGCAACAATGGTAGCATACGGCCCGCCTAATATTGAGTGGCAATAGTAACTTAATATATTCCGTATACTGTGCTATAAGGCATACATCAAGTTTTAAATTTATTTCTCATCTTTTACTCACTACCTCTCTTTTTTTTATACTCTTGTTATGACAAGTTACGACTTTTGTACACGTGTATTTGTACAATCTAGGGGTACGGTAGACTCGAACGAAACCTTATGTGAATAACAGAACATAAAAATATATTGATTTCGAGTCGACAACATAACATAACAAAATTCGGATTATGGAGTATTTCGTTAAATTCTAATGACACTCACAAACAAACCGCAGTCGCCATGTTTTCATTTCACTAGCATTTTCTTCGGTCGTTGACGTTTGCGAAAATGTTGTTTTTGACACTTTTTTATGATAAAAGAGCATGTGTTTCTTCTTTAAACCTGAAATTGGCCGATTGCGAGATAAAATTGGCTATTTTTTTTTTATTAATTTGTTTTACGGCTTTGGATACAAGTCCTTTTTAACCCAACTTAAAGTTTTACAAAATAATAAAAATTATTTGTATAAAAATTTTTGCACTTTTTATTTACTACATTTATTAAACAGAATGAACGAAGCTTTACAAATCTATGCCTTGCTTACGTTTAGTATTCCATGAGAACCGATGACTACAGAAATATCTACCCACATTTCACCCGAGCGAAGCCGGGTTTTCATCTAGTAAAGAATAAAATAAATCATTTTTAAGGCACGGAATGCGTTCAACAAAATGTCCATAATTTAAATATATGAGAAACAACCTCCAATTTTTGTTGCTCTTTTTCTATTCACATATATTTTATTCGGTATTGTTGCACAACGCTCTCGGTTTATTTGATGTCATAAACATTATCACATTATTATTCCCACAGTTAAGAATTAATTGTTCCATCACAATATGCTCAGCGCAAGAATTGCAAAATTGATGTGGCAATGGGCAGGGCACATAGCTCGTAGGACAGATGGCCGTTGGGGCAGTAAAGTCCTCGAGTGGGGACCGGAAGACGCAGAGTGGGAAGACCTCCAGCAAGGTGGACCGAAGATCTGGTCAAAATAGTTGGAAGGCGTTGGATGCGAGCAGCGCAGGACCGATCGTCGTAGAGATCTTTGGGGGAGGCCTATGTTCATCACGTTTTCCGGGCTGAGATGATGATGCTCAGCGCACAATAGCACAAACTTAATATTTATATTAGTCGTGAGAATTGTTTCATTTATCTAATCTAAATATATATAACTCAAAGGTGACTGACATAGTGATCTATCAACGCACAGCGCAAACCACTGGACGGATCGGGCTGAAATTTGTCATGCAGGTAGATGTTATGACGTAGGCACCCGCTAAAAAAGGATTTTGGTTAATTCTACCCCCAAGGTGTTAAAATAGGGGATGAAAGTTTGTATGAAACTTTGTCAATTTTAAACCGATCGGGCTGACACTTTGGATGCATAAAGCTCATATTATGAGGTAGACATCCCCTAAGAAAGGATTTTGATAAATTCCACCCCTAAGGGGATAAATTAACGCGAGCGAAGCCGCGGGCAAAAGCTAGTTTAACTAATAAGATTATTTCGTTATTTTTTCATAGACACTACCAAAAACTATGAATGAAGAATC